GGGGAGGGGGGAGTCCAGGGGATTCTGCTTCCTAATCCACGCAGAGTTTCTCTCCTGATGTCTGCTGGACCCACAATTACATTTCTGGGGTTTGCTCGCCTAAGCCCCGCCCCCCCCCCCCCCCCCCCCCCCCCCCCCCAGGCCTGGCAGGAGCCTCAGGGGGAAACGATTCAGATATATTTTTTACCACGTTTTGTTCATTCACAAACGTAAAATAAAACGCAAACTGACAAAACCGCCTCGGTGGGGAACGCTCGGAGACTCGGGTGGGCGGTGTGTTTCGGGGCGCTGCACGTCTCCCACCTTGAATAACTCCCACCCAGGCAGCCTGGAACACCTGGATGAGCAGGTGAGCCTCACTCTAATGGCCCCAATCATCCCATTCCACTAACAAACACGGGCATCTTTCCATTCCTCAACTAATGCGCAGGAGCACTTAAGACCTTAATATACGCTTGTGTCATGAGAACTCTAACAGGGGCATTAATCACAGCAAACACTCAGGAAGAAACCCGAACACTTCGGACGTTCTGGAAGCAGCATTAAAAACAAACGGCTAGAAAACATTTCTGATGAGCGTCTGAAGGGTTCAAGAAATCCAACTTTGCTCTGAACTTGGCTCAAACATGTCGATGACTTGTATAAAACATGTAAAGAATTAAGACAGAGATAAATGTTAAACCTTCAAAAGAGTCAGGCAGAAACAGACTGAAAAATAAGCCTCAAATAATCAAGACGCAGCAAAAACTACACGTTGTGTCTTGGATATTGTTGAATTGTGAGCAAAGAAGAGTCTGAAGTTAACAGGTGATTGTTTTTATGTGAATGGAGGAGATAAGTTAAAAAAAGACCACTTTGGTTTTGAAAAGGATATTTTGAGCTGAACTAGAAGTGAAGTATGTCGGAGCTTGAGTGTGGACGCTGCACTCTGAGGGGATTTGAGAGAAAACTGTACGTCCTACAGCAGTGAGAGGCACACTGAGGGAAAGAAGACAAACAGGACTATATTTGGATGTATAATAGTGGGAATGTTTAAGAAGCATTCACACTATTCTGATGAATTTTTCTTCCGTATGATTTTCAGTGTGATTCTCGTCCCTCAGTTTTCAAACTATTTCAACAAATCATAAATCAAAACGTTCAGCTCCTTCAGTACAATCCTGCTATGACTTTTGGTATTGGTGGAGTTTTAGCTTTTAGAAATATTTAGCCTTTTCTGCTATATCTTTAGATCTGTCAACCTTTTACTGCTCCTTTCACATTTTGTTCTGGTTCAGCTTCTTTCAGCTTTCTTGTGCAAATTTAAACTTTTTTCAGCTACTTTCAGCTAATTCCAGCTGTTTTTTCAGCTTTTTTTGTGTGTGCTCCTTTTAGATTATTTCTGCTAACAAAACATTTTTGTTCTCTTTTAACTCATTTCTGCAAGTTTCAGCTTTTTCTGCAATTTCAGCTACTATTTAGCTGTTTTTATGCCAATTTTAGCTTTTACAGCTAATTCCACATTTTTTGCCTAATTCTACAAAAATGTGCTCTCTTCACTTTCTTCTGGTAATTGTAGCATATTTCTGCCTTTTTAGCTACTTGTTTTTATGCTAATTTAAGCTTTTTTCAGATAATTTCCACTTTTTTGTGCTCATTTCTGCTTCTTTCAGCTTAAGTGGGCAAACTTATGCTCTCTACTTCTGCTAATTTAAGATGTTCAGCTACCATTTTAGCATTTTTAGCTAATTTCAGCTGTTTTAAGATAAATTCAGGTTTTTCCGTGTTAATTTATTCAGCCTAATTAAATTATTTCACTTGTTATTCTCTTAAGTTTTTTTCTGCTAGTTTCAGCTTTTTCTGCTACTTCAGCTATTATATAGCTACTTTTATGCTAATTTTAGCTTTTTCAGCTAATTCCACATTTTTGGGGGCTCTTTTTAGCTCTTTCCACGTCCTTCTGGTAGCTTGTGCTTCTTTCTGTTTTTTCAACTACTTTTCAGCTAATTTATTTTTGCTAATTTCAGTTTTGTTTTTTAGCTCACTTCTTCAGTTTTGTGCTGCTTATTTAAACCTAATGCAGAAAATCTGTGTTCTTTCTGCTTTCCTCTGCAAATGTAAAGCCTGTTCTGTTGTTTCAGCGAGCATGCTCTTTTTTAAAAACCTAATTTCAGTTGTTTTTCAGCAAGTTCTTCTGCAGTTAACATTCACACAGCATTTTCGAAGGAAATGCAATTTCTTTAGTTTGTATCTGTAACAAAAATAAAAAATAATAATAAAAAAGAGGTTGTGGGAGAAAGAAGAGCTCAGATGTGATGTGACATCCACCACCAGTTAGACGCTGTGGAAAAAATATCTCCAAGAATCACAAAAATTAAAGTGTGATTGTGTCAAACCCATAAAAAGCTATTGAAATGCCCGTTCAGTCAAATAATATCAAACATCCTGTGAACTGTTTAAACCTTGAATGATGTGTTTACTGTGAGTGTGACTGATCTGTGCATCTTTAGGGTTCTCTCACCTGTTGGGCTCAGTTATTGGGGAAAAGTCTGTGTTTTGGATAACTTTGTCTTATTGCTACTAAAAATCAGCGCATCCCAAACTTGTTATCTTGAACTTGCATGGTTTTAATTTTAATTATTAAAGCTAAAACAGTAGTGGGCTCTTCAGGTGTGCTCCTATGAAGCAGACCCAGCACCTGTCTGCAGGACGTGATCCACCGCATAGTTGAGATTCTTGGCGCAGACCAAAGCCTGACTAATGTTGCGGGACTTCATTGTTGCGCAACACCTTGGCAAGTTCAGACGGGCTGAGTTGGGTCGAGGCCGCAGAAACTGGACCGAAACAGACCGTTTCCATCTCCTGGTGTCTCACCTTGTGTTTGTGGAGTTCCAGTAAACGACGTGCCTTCTGGCCGCGGCAGCTGCGACCATGTTGAGGAGGAGGAGCGCAGCCGCTCCGGGTGTCCGCGCGCTGCGCGTCATCCTGCCGCCGGGACTCAGGTGGAGCAGATCTGACAGGTAGGCGTCCCACTGTCCTCCCGCCCACCCCCTGAAGTTTCACAAACACGTGCGGGAAGTCACACCTCTGCTCGACCTGTCGCAACAGCCTGACATGATGAGAACGTCATCAAGAAAAAGTGGCGCAAAAAAAAAGAAAAAAAAAGAAGAAGAAACAAACAGGAGAACTAATCATCTGCGGAGAGGCGGAGGGTGAGTGCGCAATGGCTCCTGAGAGCGGGTCCACATTCCGCACGAGAGGCTTGACGCAGACAGCACCTGAGTTTGAAGGTCAGAGGGGGGTGTGGGGGGTGGAGGTTTCCAGTCTGCGCGCTTACAGGATCGAGTCTGCCAGCTGGATTTGGCAGCAACAGGCTGAAGGACGCGCTGATCTGAGGGCGGTGCCGGGAAACTTCTGACCAATCAGCGGACTCGGGTGTGGCTCTGCGCGAGCCCGCAGAGCGCCATGTTAAATCCTGGAGAGGTGCGCCGACTGGCGTGAGGGGGGGGAATCATTATGCCTGAAATGACCAGGGACGGACTGTAGAAAAACAGGGGCCAGGGCTGAGGCGTGTTACAGCCCCCCTCCCAAGACACTGACAACTGAAATGAAAGAGACCCCATAGACTTATTCAGGTTCTTTATAAGTTTTTATCATTTAAGTTAAATTTGTTTATATATCTTCAAGGTTTCTTTTAAACGGCTTTGCTTCATATTTTAATACATCTCATCATATAGTCCACATTTTACAGCAGTGGGTGATAAAGTTTTTGTGGCTGTGTGTTTGTCTGTTAGCAAAAAACATCTCATGAAACACTGACATTTATAATTGAAACTTTTAGAAAATAATCATAACACACACATCCAATATTGATTCACTTTCGTAAACAGCTCAGTTAGTGATGACTATCACAATTAATTAATCATAGAAGACACAAAAATGACAAATTCTGTGAGTTTTAAAGCTATTAAAGCAAAACGGTGGCAGTTACATACTCCTTGCACTACATTCTGTGCTCGATGTGTGCATAAACTGGACATCTATGTTGGAAGCAACTCTGTATTGTTAGTAAAATAACTCATTAACTAATGAACATGTTTTAATGAATGTCTTAGGAAAAATATTGGACATATATCAACAACTGATTAACTTTTCGAGACAATTCAATTTAAAATGACTGCCACAGCTAACAGTTATTCTCAACACATACAGTATACATAACTAATTCATTGTGCAAAATTTTGTGATATTGTGTGAGATGAACCATAATGTTTTCAAAATTTGACAAACTTGCCATAATTCTCCTTTTCAAGAGTAAAAAAAGGAAGTTTTTTTTTAAAGGTTTTACCTAAATGGCTCTAATTCCCCTCTACATCATATAACCATCAAACTGAGGAGAGATGTTCGCTGCCATGGGAGGATCTTATTTAACCAGTTCTGTGTATGTGTGGTAGGTCGATGGGTAAATCAGTTGTCTTATCTGAAGTTTGATCCCTGCTTGGACATTTTATTTGAATTGATGATATAGTCTATCATATTTTTTTCACTTTTATATATATTTTAGTTACTGGTACTTCAGGTAACTTTTTCCCTCCCATTGTGTTGCTCTGTGATTAATATTTGAAATGACTTCAAATCAAATTATGAATCCAATCCAGAGTGCTGTGTAGCTCTCTGCTTTATTATACACAGATAACATTAAGAATGCTCTCGTTTCAGGTGGGGGTGGATGAGGATGTAGGAGACACTCATTTCTTTGATTTGTTAGACTAGACTGTTGTTCACAAGACACAAGCTCAAGGAGGAAGCAAAAGGAAACAAGTTTGTACACAAAAAAACACAAACAATAAATGATGCTAACCGAACCATAGATGTATTTCTAATTCAACTGTGGTACCTTGTTTTTAGTATTTTAGTAGCAGTTTTAGTATGTTTTAGTACTTTTGCTGCATGCTTTGGTATTTCTTGATTTTTATTTTTTTATTTTTTGGCGAGTTGAGACGGTTCTTCTCGTCCTAAGTATTTCATTGCATTGTTGATCTTGTGTTGATTATGCATATGACAAATAAACTGAACCTGAAATTAAGGCAACATTTACTGTTTTATTTTTACAGTAAATGTCACACAATTTGTCACACAAAACATCCATATCATCACTGTTCGTTGAGAAACCTGATCGCTACAGGGATAAATGACGTTTCAATCTGTTCGTCCTACATCTACGCAGCAGATACCTGCATCCAGATGGAAGCACCCTGAACTCACCATGGAGTGGGTGATCAGGATCTGCCAGAACCAGCCTGGCCTTGTTCACTGACCTAATCTTGTGTTGGATTCAGAGATTCAGAGTTTCTTTATTGTCATTCGTACCACACATGTGGTACATGTGGTGGAACGAAATTGTGTTCACAGGGTCCCAGTTACATCCAACAATAAAATGTAAAAGAAAAACAGTAATAAGTTCTAACTAAGAAAATCATAAACTAAACATACACTAAGCACCAATAGCATAAAAACAGTAAAAACAATATGCTGAACAGCAGCATGAACATGAGTCTGTGTGAGCAGATGAGTATGAATGAACACATCAATTCCAGAATTGTGCCGCTCAGAGTGGCTGCCTGTTGGAGTAGCTCCCTTACATTCATTCTGAGATTTTGCTTTGAAAGACTTTAATTACAAATTTTTATGGATGTAAATCACTTTTTTTGGAGGATTACTTCCTCTGGTATCAGACGCTGTGCCTGCTGGAAGGATTTTTACTGAAACCTTTTTCACATTTGGATATTTGTTATGATGCGTAACCATAACAACAAGGTGGTTTTCTACAACAGGGAGCTACTGATTAACATTTCAAAAGCCCAAATAAGACCTCAACTACAGTACTAAATCCCAAATGAGTTGAAAAGGAAGTGCTGTGGATGCATTACCGTCTACCTGGAGGCTGTGCTCGAGTGCTTGACCACAGCTTAAAACAGCGGGAGGTCCGAGATCATCCCCTGGCACCTGCAATTAAGTCTGCATCGATGAGGGGCTCGGCATGCTGCTGCAAGAAATGGCCGTCGCTCGGGGAGGAGTTCTGCTGACATTCAGGCAGTCCTGTTGCACAAGAGGACAAGAGGCCTGCAGTGTCTGGGTGGACGGATCGGCATCTGCAACCAGTTTCTTCGGATCTGCTGTAGAACGGACTGTTACAAGAGATCCTTCCTGCCCAAAACCATCCACATCTACAACAACTCTAATGAAACCAAGATGATGAGCTACAACAACAATTAATTTCCCTTTGAGATTAATAAAGTATTTTTGAATTGAATTGAATCAACATGAAACAAATCAGCAGCAACATGATGTGATTCTTCACAGTGATTATTCTGGTTAGAGATTCATGAGTCTAACAGCCTCAGGGTAGAAGCTGTTCCTCAGTCTAGTGGTTCTACACTTAATGCTCCTTAACCTCCTTCCTGAGGGGAGCGGGGCAAAAAGTGTGTGCGCTGGGTGAGTGGGGTCCTTCATGATGCAGGTGGTCCTCTTCCTGCATTTGGAGGTGTAAATGTCTGTGATGGTGGGGAGACTGACTCCAACAGACTTCTGTGCAGGCTTCACCACTCTCTGCAAAGCTTTTTTATGATTATTAATTATGATTAGGATATGAGCATAGGAGCTGCCACTGACCTTAAACCCCTTCAACTGCTCCACCGGGTGCTCTAGATGGCAGCCCTCTGCTCCACATATGTGGGCTGTGGTATAGTACGGTGGTTGGTGGTTGCAACAGGAAGGTCATCTGGCATAAAACAGATCTTCATGCAAGATCGCTTGCTGTGGTGATCCCTGAAGTAGGGAGCAGACAGTAATAAACAAATCAAAATGGTTTAGTGACATTCAAAGCAGGAGAAACATCTGCAAAAACAGCCTCAACAAACCTCTAAGGGACCTGAGCTTGTTAGGCCCAGTCAGTAATATGTTCTTAAACTGACTGAGGTTGATCTCAGTGTTAATTATATGCGTCCAGGAAATAACACATCTTATTTAGCAAGTAAAGTTCCTCCTGTTGTATAAGCTTCTCCTCTCTGCATAGAAGAATGGTGCGAACAGAACATGGCAGGAATGCAGATCACCTCCTTGACTGATCGCAGGAGTCACATCTAGGATGAGGATTTTAGGTTGATGAGAATGAATTCTTGGGTTGTTGTCAGCCCCCTCAGGAGCTGGTGTGTAGCAACAGTAATCACTACACCTCCATGAGCGAAAGCCACCGGTGGTCCTCTCTAATTATCTCATTCTGAAACGTCGGTGTGTCTGTGAGATCACCAGCCCCTCCAGCTTCATCACTCGTCCAGACAAAGTTCCACTGAACAGCTCTGTGTTGTTAGCTGCGGCAGGAACACATTTTGACTATTTCCTCTCTGCAGGACCTCCTCCTCCTTTTAGCTGTCTGTTGTTGTGTGTTGTGTGTGTGGCTCCGGTTGTTTGTGTGTGTGTGTGTGCCACAAGGACTCATTAGCTTACTTCCTGGAGGTCCTGATCATTAATTTCCCATGATGCCTTAGCGCTCCTGTGTGGCTAATTCGTCCCAGGTGAGTTTGCGCTTCTTCAGCAAACGTGGAGCAGACTATAGACGAGTATCTCCCTCCGCAGTCTCTCCCTCCATCTTGGTGATTGATCTGTACCACCGGACACTTCCTTACAAATGTACGAGTGCAAAGAAGTAGAAGAGAAATCTCCTAAAAATTATTTCATTTCCCCCGTCTTGCCCTGAAAACCTTTCCAGCTCTGTTTGAGACTTTCTCGAGAATATATCAGCTGAAGTATTCAGAAGCCCTGCAGCTAATTCTGCAGCTGTAGACTATAAACTGACCAGATTTCCCCTCTGAATTAGATTAGATTTGGGAGAAAAGTGTTCTCATTTACCTCACGAGATGAGACGGTCAATTGAAGTTTGAAGTTATGATTTGCTGTTTAGGAGCCGTTACAAAGCTGTTCTGTTTTAGCCAAACAGGCCCGCATACATCCACAGTGACTTGGAATCTTTATATTTACTCC